TCAGCAGAACTGCTTCCCTGTGGCCTGGCTACCTTGGGGATCTCTGGAGGCCCCTCCCCCGGCGCGGGTAGGGCAGCAGTGGCCGAGGCCGGGTTCGGGAGCCAAGACGCAGTGACGGCTCGGGGCCCGCCCCGCTTCGCTCCGCCCCCGCCCCCCAGCCGCCGCCGCCGCCGCGGTCCCCGCGGCTCCTCACTCCCGCCCTCCTCCCACCTCCTCCCGCCGCCGCCGCCTCCCTCCTCCCTCCCCGGGGCCGAAGCCGCCACCGCCGCCATGGACGATTCTGGCCTGATCCGCCGCCGAAGGCTGCAGGTACGCGGTGTTCCCGGGGGAGGGGAAGGGGTCGGCGCCCCGGGGCGGGGTCCGGCCGGAGCAGCGGAACTTGCGCCAGGGTCGGTCCGGGCGACCCCTCCCGTGGCCTCCGATGCTGCTCACAGGGAACGCTGTGGCCGCGCGTCCCGCCGCGCAGGGGACCCCGCCCCTCAGGCGCCGCCCGGGGATCCAAGGTGCTGACGGAGGGGGTACAGCCGAGCGCTCCCCCTCGAGGATAGCCTGAGGGGCTATCGCCCCGCTGGAGGGGGAGGGGGCTGCGATCCGAGTCTTAGCTTTGGAGCCCCTTTCGATTGGGAGGGGGGCGCCAAGCAAAGTTATTGCCCCAGGGCTCGCGCCCCTCGGGGCCGCAGGCGCCTCGCAGCCGTAAACATGTTTGTGCGGCAGCCTCGCCCCTTACCGCCTCAGGAACCCCACTGAGAGGCGTGGGAATCTCCTACATCCACTATGCACCCAGCCTGCTACCCGGATTCTTTCTACTGCCCTAATTGGACCGGCACCTAGACAGCCTTCTCACCCTTCGTTCCACCTCCCGCGCCCCCCTCCCCGGCCCCCGCGATCATTCTCAAGTCCAGCCCAGCTTGTGGGTGGGCGGGAGCGGTTTTTAGCTTCTTGCAGCTTTAGAAGATGCTGGTCGCTGCTGCGCAGGCGCGGAAGGCGTGGGTCCACTGCACCGAGTGGGAAACTGAGGGCTGTTGTGGAGTGTGGGAGAGGCGGGGCAAACCCGAGCGTCAGCAGCTCCTACCTCAAGCTGGGTGGAGATTCTGAAGCTAAGAGGGGTCCTCTGCTCCCGTTTTCAGCCAGGGTTTCTGAGGTTTAATACGGGTCAAGTGTTGTTCCCCAAGTAACTCTTAGAGGGGAATTTGGACCAAGCTTCTCATTGTGGACTGTCCAGGGCCTGGTTCTTCTGGGTATCCTTTGAGTCTAACCTTGAGCTCAGATAAAGCCAAGCTTGGGCCCAGACTGCAACCCCAGATTGGATCCTGTGGGGAGAGTAGGGGAGGATGCAGGGCCTCATTCAGAGACTGATCCATCTCTGGATTCCTTTACGTCACCACCTTATAAGTGGAAAGTGGTCTAAGCTTTAAGGTCGAGGTCAAAGACGAAAGGGAGGTGAACTGCCAGTACAGCAGGAAAGATGAGATCAGACATTAGAAAGGACTTCCCTGGCGTCTGGATGGTGATGGAGCCAGACACAGTTGGGAGAGCTGATTTGGTTTCAAACAGCCCAGATGGCTTCATCTCAGTGTCTGGTCCCCTCTTAGGCTCTCCTCGGGACTCCCTCCCCCAAGCTGGACTGGGTTTTGGGGAAGGATGTGTTCTGGGAAAAGGGAGGGAGCTGCGGCAAAACAGAGCGAGTATTGCAGCAGCCAGGCTGGGACTGCGCCGGGACCGCGCCGTCGGGCCTTCTGAAAAGGGGCGTGAAGGGGCGGGGACAGCATGGGGTGTGTCCCCGCCGATGCCGACTCCCATTGGCTCAGCGCCACGCGGGGCTTCTCTTTCTCCCCACTTCCCCCGCTGGGCCCCGCCCCTAGACCTGGATCTTGGAAGGTGTGTGTGTGTGTGTGTGTGTGTGTGTGTGTGTGTGTGTGTGTGAGAGAGAGAGAGACAGAGAGAGACAGAGAGAGACAGAGAGAGACAGAGAGAGAGGCTTGGGGGTGGGGTAATGGAGCCCAGACCCCTCCCTTCACTCACCTACCCTCTCGGCCCCAGAAGTCCTCTAGTTTGGCTAGCCCTGCTCGAGTCCTACTCTATTCTTCCTTTCTGGCAAAGTTAACCACTTCGCTCCTGGTACACTCAGCATACACAAGTGGAACCCCTGAGAAACTGTCCCATAACTATGGAGTACCCAAGAGGTTCTTTGTGTGCATTTGGGATCGTATATATGAAGAGCGTATATATGAACGCCTTGCCCCCTGGGCCGTCCATTAATCCTGGGGAAAAAAATACGGAACCCGCTCTGGCGGAGGGGTTCTATAGCTGGAGATAGAGGTCGCGGCTATTTACAGTGATGCCAAGGATTCGAATCCTCGGCCACTCCACTTTGCCACTTTCCTCGATCATAGAATGTTTGGGAGCACGAGTGGATGGGGCTGGGTTTGAAGACATTTTTAGGTGGCGCTTAAAGGTTCCCCCAGACTCACCTTCGAAGGTCGAGTTTTCCTGGGTCCGGAGCCATGAACTCCATGTCCGGAAAATCCAGGCCTTGATTTCCCTTGGTCCATTGCGGACGTACCGCCTGTCTCGCAGACCCAGACTGCGGCTCATTCACTATAATCCTGCAAAGACGAAGGGAAAACGTGGTATGGATTTCCGGGCACCCGTTGCTCGGAAGGACAAGGAAGGAAAGGGGCAGAGTGTCTTTTGATCCTATCCAAACATCTGCCCCCGTTGTATATGGTAATGGGAGGTCCCTCTAACCCATCTTCTGCCCTGTCAGCCTGTCTATTAATAATAACTCCTGTTTCTCTGACATAGTATGTATTGAGCGCTTGCTAAGTGCTATGTAAATCATGCTAAGGCTTTACCTGCATCTTCTTACAGAATCCTCTTTGTTGTTGTTAAGTGCCTTCGGAATCGTCCGACTCAGAACGACCCTGTATAAGGTTTCCGAGGCTTTTAAAAATATTTGCGGGAGCAGAAAGCCTTACCTATCTTCCATGGAGCAGCTGGCGAGCTGGAACCACTGATCTTGTGGTTCTCAGTATAATACCTGTGGAGCCACTAAAAGGTCATTTGCCAAGGTCGTGAGGGGCAAATCTGAAATCTGAAACTAGGACTTCCTGTTTACAGAGATCTCAGAAAGGATTTGTTCGGAATATTCTTTAGATGTGTTTTGAAATTCTCACCCAAGAATCTTCAGGGCTTCAGCCCTGCCCAACCCCTTTCCTTCCACCTCAGCCCTTTGAGACAGGAGTGACTGGGAGGGGATGCAACTTTCCTCACTACTTCCCTCAGAAAAGGGCCAAGATCTCCTAATTCCTGATCCCTGTAATAACTTCCTGAGCCCTTGACAAACATAATACAATCTCCTTCAAATGTGGACACAGGTGTGGCACTGTAAAATAAGCATTGGACCATAAAGTCGGTTTGAACTTCTGCGCTTGAAACTTACCGATGAGCCGCTCCTCTTCAGAAACCCTATACAGGATCGCTATGAATTGGAACCCACTCAACAGCATTTAACAACAACAATTATGTATTGGAGCCCTGGTGTGGGGCTATAGGAAAAGCACTGGACTGCTAACAACAATGCCAGCTGTTCAAACCCACCAACCACTTCTCTGAAACCCTGTACAGGGTCACTATAAGTTTGAAACGACTTGACGGAACTCAGTAATTATGTACTGAGAGCGCAGTGGTTAGGTAAGATAAGTAGAGGACTGCAGTTCACAGGCTGGCAGTTCAAGACCACCAGCTGCTGGGAGGGGGAAAAGATGAAGCTTTCTGCTCCAGCAAAGATTTACCACCGCCTCAGAAACAATGATATATTATCATTGCCATTACCTATTGCCCATTTCAAATCTTAGTTTTGAGCTACCTTAACTGCCTCCCTCAACTCATGAATCTGGCTGGGATAGGACATGTCTCTTGGAGCTGTGGTTGTTGTTGCTAAGTGCCATGGAGTTGGTTCCAACTCATAGAGACCGGTATTTCCGAGCCTGTAAATCTTTACCGGGAGAGAAAGTCTCATCTTTCTCCCACGAAGCAGTTGGTGGATTCGAACCATCAAACTTGAAGTTGTGGAGGAATCATTCCACATTTCTTACTGGAACATGCTAGACTTATTTTTGTCTTCGACCTTGCATTTCCTTTACCTGAAATGGTCTCTCCAGAGATTTTTCCCGTGGCTGGGTCTTGTCGTTAAGTAATCAGCTTAAAAGTCATCTCCCAGCCATTTTCATCCCATAAAATGGTTTAATTTTATTCACAACACTTATTACTGCCTAAAATTATTATTCATTTTTGCATCAATCTTATTGTCTGTCTTCCACCACTAAATACTAGTCTCAAATGGACAGAGATTTTTTTTGTCTTGCTTACTTACTGCTATGTCCCCAGTGCCTAGGATAGCTATGTTACACAGTAGATGCTCAATAAATATTTTAATATAAAGACTCCTACTTCATTTATACACCCACGTATTGAGATGCCAACTCCGGAGCCCTATATGGGGTCTCTTCTGTGTACTTGGCTTTGTGTTGGTATCTGGAGGTCAGCAGAGAAATGTTCCAGGTTACCTATCCCCCAAGGAGCCCGGTCTCCAGTTTATGATCAAGGGTAAAAGTGACAATGCTGATGAGGTGCCTAGTCCCACCCTGCTTTTGCTCCTCTTGGGGGCTGCAAGGGTCTGTGGGCAGCGGCCTCTTTTGTGTGCTGACCCCTATCCTTCGGTCCCCTTTGCCTTTCAGAAGGATTTGCCCCTGCCTCGGAAAAGTAGCAGGTGAGCCTTAGGGAGAGATGCGCGGGACTAGTCGCCCTTTCTGTAGTCCAAGGTGGGTGGGTGGGGCGTCCGGAGAATGTGGGCAGGATCTGGTGCGTCGTCGCTCAGGAGCGCCCCCTCCCGGTGGGCGGCAGCCATAGGGCCCTCCCCTCTCCCGCCCTCCCCCGCCTGCTGCGGCTCCAGCCTCCGCCCCACGCGCTTGCTCCCCGCGTCGCCGCCGCCGCTGCCGCACCTGCCACCATGTCGCCGCCGCCGGGTCATGTCTGACTCTCTCTGGACCGCGCTTTCCAATTTCTCGATGCCCTCCTTCCCCGGCGGCAGCATGTTCCGCCGCACCAAGAGGTAGCCCCCTGACCCTCAGACCCTGTCCCAGTCCTTCTCTCAAAGCGACCCCTCCGGCCGATGCCGCAGGGCGGGGCCCGGGATGCTGCTCCGGGTCCAGCTGTGCTAGAGGTGCCCTCGCTGCGCCTTTCCGCCTGCGAGGGGGCTGCATGGGGGATCGGTGTGGGCCGAAGCTGGGGAGGGGCTGCACATTGGAAGGGACAGCCGAGGGGGGAGGGGGCTGCGACGGGCGGGGGGTCTACTGCGGAGCCTTTGTTTGCTGGCGCTGTGGACTTTGGCAGCCGGTTGGGGGTGGGGGAAGAAGGGGACGATGGGGGGCTTGGCACCCTTAGAACAATAGCCGCATCCTGCCCCTCTCCTCATGCCGCGGGCGCCTGGACGCGCTAATATGCTCAGTCACTGCGGTCTGGTGGGGGTGGGATGGAGGGCTAGGGGCTCCTTCTTCATAAGCTATGACCCTGAGGAACTGAAAGAATAGGGGGGCTTTTATCATGGCACAGACTCTCAAGAAATACAGCCTCAAAGCAAAAACAGTCACACAGAGAGTCCTGCAGAGCATGAAGTCATACACACATACACACACAGCTCTAGTGTCCCAGATTACACCCAGTAGGGTGCCGTGAATACCCAGTTAGGCAGCAGCTGCAGCGCAGAACCATGTACAGTCACACACAGGTACTACTGTGTCGTGTACACCTAGTAAGATGTCACGTGCATAGCAATCCACACATATGATTATGCCATTCAATATGTACAAGACATATATGTGATGGTGATACAACATGCATCCAACAATGTCACACTTTACAATGTCCCATGCCACCATAGACAGACACAGGAAATCTTGTAGCGATGGAGAGACACATACAAATCACACACTATCCCATACAAATGCATACATGTGACATGCTCTGACATGCCCAGTATCATACATAGGGTGTAAAATTCACACAATAGATGCCACATGTGGGCATACATGGTAAATACCACACAAGGACCATCTTTTACACACTGAATGTCACAAAGAGACAAACATGTAGAAGCAATGGCACATCTAGGCATGGGCAAGTGACATTATACACCTGTGTCACATACACAAAGGTAGAGTTGTGTCATACACAATAAATCCAGCTACTTTCACACCAGGATATGCCCAGTGTCACAGAGTGAAGTCACACAGTGGATGCCACACATGGGTACACACAATAAATGTTATGCACAGACCTAATGACATATAAGCAGGTGAGGCATGGATGGTGTCACAGACATCACCACCACACCACACAGGCTCATACATGATTCTCACAGTGAATCTCACACACACACAATCAGGCCTCTACACCAAGTCCTCAGAACACTTCCAAGCACACACGAATGGGGAATCGGTTTGGCATTTGAGATGGGAGGGCGGCTGGCTGGGCTCAAGGACTTCACTGGGCCCTGGCCCTCGCGGGTCTGCCTGCCTCGGCTTCTCCGCAGCTGCCGCACCAGTAATCGGAAAAGCCTCATCTTGACCAGCACTTCACCCACGCTGCCACGGCCCCACTCTCCACTGCCGGGCCACCTGGGTAAGACGGGTCCTAGTGGGCGTGGACCAGACAAGCAGAGGCAGGCCACCTGCTAGGGGATATGGCCATGCTGCAGGGCTAGTGTGCGAAACGAATCTGGACAGGGGAGGATCCGGATTGGACAAGGGGTGGGGCTACCCGTGTGACCAGTCCGCAGATGGACCCGCATTGGTCTGGAGAGGGCTAGGCGATGCTTGGATTGGAAAGTGTACGGGGCAGAAAAAGGAGGAGCTGTGCCTTAGGGGCGGGGCCATATGGAGGGGGTTGGGGTCATTTTGGAACCAAAAAGTGTGGTGGTGGTGGTGGTGTGCCATGGAGCCGGTTCCGACTCAGTGACTTTGTATAGGGTTTCCGAGGCTGTAAGTCTTTACGGGAGTAGAAAGCCTCGTCTTTCTCCTGAGGGACAGCTGGTAGTTTCGAATTGCTGACCTTGAGGTTAGCAGCCCGATTCGTAACCACTAAGCTACCAAAAAGGTTCGAGGCTAAATCGTCGGAGGGCGTGGTCAACCCAAACATAAGCGGGTCTAGGCTAAAGATGGTATGGACTATTGTTTGCAAGTCCCTTTGGAGATTAGAAGGCATGATGGGATTGCCCCCACTCCAAGCCTAAAGCGCTCCTTCCTTCCGCCACAGGTAGTAGTCCCCTGGACAGCCCTCGCAACTTCTCCCCCAACACCCCTGCCCACTTCTCATTCGCCTCCTCCCGAAGGTGAGTCTACCCTCCACAGTCTCCAAACCCGACCCGGGATCATTCCAACCCACCGTATGGGTTGCCATCTGTTCTCCCTCCTAATTGCATCCGTGTTGGGACCTAAGGGAATCCCAGAGTGTCCTGCGGAAAGGACAGTCCAGTCTCTGAGGCGGGGCCTATCTGAGGATCAAACGCCAATCCGAGATCGGGAAAGGGCGGGGCTTCTTTTACTGTGGGACCTTGGCGCGTGCGCTCACATGCCCAGGGTCTCAGCCCCCCGAGCCTCAGGCTCAGGGCCGGGCGTTTCCATAGCAACAGGGCCGGAGAGCCGAGATGAGATGCGCAAGCGCAGACTGAGCGGCGCCCATCGAGGGACTCTAGGTCCCTGAAGTGGGGGAGGGTGGCTGCAGCTATCTCTGTAGGTCCCAGGTGGAGGAGGAATGTCCGGTTTCGCTCCTAAGGTCTCTGAGGCTTTTTGAGTGTCCCTAAAAAAAATTATGTTTGGTGAAATTGCGGAGATAGAGAGGTTCCCCTGAATTTTTTGTAGACACTTTCTGGGCATCACCAGGAAGTGAAGAGAGGTTTTTTTTTTTTTTTTAATGTATTCATTCTAAGAACGTCTGAACACCTGCTATGAGTTGGGCATACAGGGTGAACAACACGCCATTTCTACCCTCAGAGATGAGTTGGAGGAGACAGGTCAGGGAACCCTGATCACAACAAAGGCTGGTGACAACTGTAATGTAGTTGCATCTAGGTTGTGGGGCAGAGGGCAGCTCCCGGGGAGCCCTAGAGAATGCGCCCCTGGGCTGTGGAATTCGGCTGAGTGTAATAGCCAGATAAGGGCTGGAAGATTGGGTTTGATGTGGTCAACTTCTATTTTAGAAGGAAAGGGAATATCTGGTGGAGGGTGCGTAGGAGGGAGTTCCACAGGTACTAGGGAGAGGTGATGGGGTCCAGACCAAGTGGTGGCAGTCGGGGAGGAGGATTTAGGACATGCCCTAGGGCACTGACTAGAGGAAGGAATGGAAGAGGAATCATGTGCTTTTGTACAGATCTGTGAATGTGGCCATTTGTCTGTGAGACCTTGCACCAGTGTGTGTGCATCTGTGTGTGAGTGTGTCTGTGAAGCTGTAAATGTGTGAGAATATGTGAGGGAAGATGTGCCTACAGTGTGTCCTTGTGAGTGAGTGTGTGTCTGTGAGAGTTTGAATGTGTGTGTGGCTGAATAAATTAGAGCGTCCTGAATGTCTCTGTGTAGATTTGAAAGCATGTACAAGTGATTACATGTGTGTATGTGTGTCAGAGGGTGAGTATGTGGCTCTCTGTAAGTGTATGTGTATGTAAGTGTAGGTCTGTACGTGCATGTGTGGATGTAGGTATCTGTGTAGGAAGTGTGAATGTGTGTGACTATCCTAGTCCCACTAATTACCAGTGGGTGTGACTGAGAGTGAGTCTGTCTGTGAAGTTGTAAATTACCATGAGTGTTCATACACTTACATTCTCTGAGAATATCCAATAAGTCTGCCTCTGAGAGGTTTCTCATGGGGGGATTCTATAAGAGTATACTTTTGAGGTCCTATGAAAAGATTCCTAGTGTAGCGCTGCAGGATAATGTGCTGATCTTCAAGGTCAGTTTGAACTTTGAATTTGGCGGTTCAAACTCACAGCTGCTCTTCAGAAACCCTACACAGGGTTGCTATGAGTCAGAACCCACTCAACAATATGGGAAAACGACTTTAAGTAGATCTTTTCAGTCCTCACTGGGGTCCACTCTGTGTGACTTGTTTGGTATAGAACTATGGGAGAGGGGGATCATGGGAAGGAGTAGGAGAGACTGACCTGGTCTTCCCATCAGGTCTGGGGGTTCCTGGTAAACTGCCTTTCTACTTCATTGTTTCTGAACTGGTTGGAATCTTGGGGAATAGATATCCCCCCACCCCATGCCTACTACCCTGACTGTGGTCAGTGGATTCTGCCATGCCCTGAGGTAAAATAGGGAGACTCAGGGAGACTGGCAATTTCTAAGCACCTTGACTGGGTTCCAGGGCGGATGGACGACGTTGGTCTCTGGCCTCACTCCCTTCTTCTGGCTATGGCACCAACACACCCAGCTCCACAGTCTCGGTGAGTGTGACAAGCAGGTGGGCGGGAGTGTTGGGTACAGACTTCTAGCTCAGACCCACATCCAGGCCAGCAGCCCAGACTGACTTTAATGAGGACCTTAGGTTGCTTTCCTTCAAAGATGTCCACCTGTGCATCTAATAGCTAGTTACAGGAACCTCCCAAAGTTTTGTTCTCTGTCCTTGGTACATCTTCTTGGGGGGGAGGGGGGTCCTACTTATCTCGGATACATTTTATAGATGGTGACATTAAGCTTCAGTCAGTTAAGCTACTTCCCCAAGGGTCTGAAACTGGCCAGGACTAGTTTTATCCCTGTGGTCTGGCCTGGAACCCATATGCTTACCCAGTAGATATCCAAGGTCTTTCCTTCCATCTGTCCCTTTTCTACCTGTGTCTCTGGTTCATTCATGATTTTCTTGGGTGGATGAGCTCTGTGAGTGGGACCAAGGTCTAAGCATTTACACAGCCCTTGGTATTACGAGAGAAAGATGAGTAAGAAAGCATTTATAACATAGGGTGATTGGACCGGTGATGGTGGCTATAGAGGGGAAGCACACAACACAGCTAGGGATGGGGACAGCACATGATACAGCTGGAGGGTCAGAGAAGGCTTTAGGGAACAAATTGCTTTGAAACCAAGACCGAAAGGGTCAGCAGGAGTCTGGCAGATGGAAGAAGGGGTGGGTGGGGGGAGAGGGGTGTTCCAGGAAGGGTGAACATGTTCAAAACTCCCAGAGACCACATGTTCAAATGTGAGAAGTTGACACATTTGGAAAGTTGAAAGTAGTCTTGTGTCGCTGGAGCTTTCTGCAGTGGAGGGACTTGTTGTTCTGGGCACCAGTTACCAGTCACCAACTCATGGAGGTCCCCTGTGTGTCAGAGTAGAACTGTGCTCCATAGGAGTTTCAGTGGCTCCATTTTCAGAAGTAGATCCCCAGACCTTTTTCTGAGGAGCTTCTATGTAGATCTGAAATGCCAACCTTTCGGTGAGCAGCCAAGTGCTAACCCAGGGACTTCATAGGTCAGGGTAGCGATGTGGATTTTATTCTAAACATAGTGGGGAGCTTTAGAAAGGCCTGCTTTATGTCACATTGTATTAAAAGTTTGAATGACTTAAAGTTGTGTTTTTTGGAGGGCTTGGGCATTTAAAAGTTTGTTTGTTTTTTTTAAAGTAGATACTGATGGGATGCAGAGTTTTTAGCAAGCGGGTGATTTATTGTGACTGCCAGTCAAATCAAGTGGATGTCCTTAGGTCTCTCCTTTAATGTCTGTGTGTTTGTGTTTTGCTCTAATTGTGAGCCAGACACTAACCAGAAATCAAGGAGCGCAAATCCCTGCCCTTAAGGAGCAGAGCAATAACATAGGAAGAATGAAAATGTAGACCATCCAGAGATAAATAGATCAAGAAAGAGCAAGACAGGGCAAGGGACAGATGTGTGTTAAGCAAAGACTTCAAGGAGGAGGTGCGATTTATAGTAGATGTGTTCCAGCAGAGGGAACAGCCAGTGTGAAGTCTCAGAGGTGGGAGCATACCTGGCTTGAAGGTCATAGAGGATGCTGGTGCTGCTGGAGTGGAGGAGGGGCAGAGGGAAGGGCAGGGAGCTGAAGCTGAAATGAGGACTTAGGTGTTCAGCCTGAGTGAGGTGGGAACCCTGGACAGAGGAGCTGTAAGACTTGAGTCAGGTTTTAACAGGCTCCTCTGGCCAAATCCATATCCATGTCACTGTTCGCATCTGTGTCTGTCCCTATCTGCCTGCCTGTCATCAGGAGTCCCAACCTGGGCCCACCCGGACCCAAGGGATAAGATCTGATCCCGACTTTGCCAAATGGCCCACCAGCCCCGGGAGCCCTAGTCAGGGACCCAAGCTGTGGGTGCACAGCGAGACTCTCACTGACCCCATCTCTCCCCACCCTGCAGTCTTCCTGCTCCTCTCAGGAGCGCTTGCACCAGCTGCCCTACCAGCCCACGGTGGATGAACTCCACTTCCTCTCTAAACACTTCGGCAGCACAGAGAGTATCACTGATGAGGATGGCGGCCGACGCTCCCCGGCCGTGCGGCCCCGCTCCCGGAGCCTCAGGTGAGCCCGGTCCCCCTTCCAATCCAAGCTGGTGGTCTGGGCTTGCAATATGATGAATGACGGTTAGACGTCTTTCCCTGCAGCCCCGGGCGCTCCCCCTCCTCCTATGACAATGAGATCGTGATGATGAACCATGTTTATAAGGAGAGGTTTCCGAAGGTGAGACGGGGCGGTTGGGGTTCCTGTGCACCCTAGCTCCGCGCGCCCCCTGGCGGCCGGCGCCGGCACCTCCGACTGTCTTGGTTTGTCCGTAGGCCACAGCGCAGATGGAAGAAAAACTGCGAGACTTCACCCGGGCCTATGAGCCCGACAGCGTGCTGCCGCTGGCTGACGGGGTGCTCAGTTTCATCCATCACCAGATTATCGAGCTGGCCCGGGACTGTCTGGCCAAGTCCCGTGACGGCCTCATCACCACCGTCTACTTCTACGAATTGCAGGAGAACTTGGAGAAGCTACTGCAGGACGTGAGTGCATCTCGGGTTCTGCTCCCCCAAATCAGCCCCCGCACCTCCCTCACCCCACATCCATTCACAAAGTATGTACCATGCACCAGGCTCTGGTTTGGAACTGAGGATTCATTGGTAGACTAGGAGGATGTGGAGGAGACAGGAATTCAAACTCCTTCCCCTCCTTCAAGTCTTTACTCAAAGCTCCCTTTGGTGTGGCCTCCTGGACTCCTTCCCCATTTAAAATGTTTTTGTTACTCGCCTGGTCGACTTTCTCCTTAGCATGCTGTATTTTTTGCTTATCATATTTGTCTGCTCCCTGGAATGACAAAAATGTGATGGGGAGAATTTTGTTTTGCTGGGATACCCCAGCACACAATAGGTACTCATTAAATGTTGGATGAAGGGATGAATTAATGAAATTAAAGAAGATAATGTCTCCTTGCAAGCCAATGGTAATGTCCTAGGGGTCCTGGTGTGGTGCTGCAGGATAAGCATTGGACTGTTAACTGCAAGGTTGACGGTTCAAACTCATCAGCCACTCTTCAGAAACCCTAAACAGTGTTTGCTAAGAGTCGATATCGACTGGATGGCTCTTAACAACAAAACTGTGATCTGGGTACTCTGCAGAGAATCTGGCAGTGAACAAAACAGACCAAAGCATCTGCTCTGATGGGGTGCACATTTGTGTGAGGGAGGCAGACAAGATACATGGAAACAAACAAATCAAGGAATTGGATGTTTTCAACTGATACTAAGGACTCTGAAGCAGATAGTGTGATGACAGAGTATAAAATCCAGGAGACCTCCCTGTGGGAGGTGACATTGAAATATGAGGAAATGGCAGCTGCAAGAAGAGCTGGCAGAAGTGTGCTCC